CGGCGGGCGCGGCGGGGCCGGTCCAAGCCGGGCGAGGCTGGGCGGGAGTGGGTGCGGGATGCGGGGCTCTGCTGTCTGCACGCCCCGGAGGCAGAGTGGCCGGCTTCGGGGCCTACCGGCTTCTACAGTTATTTGATTTTGATTTTATGTTAATTTATTGGTTCGCTCCCTGAGCGCTGCTGCTGCAGGACGCGGCGCGGCGGATGTGACTCTCACTGCAGACGAGCCGCATGCTGCAAACTTTTATCTCCCGGATCTCCGGGGCAGCGGAGCGAGGACCGGAGCGCCGCATCTCCCCTTCCCGGGTGTGCGAGGGCCGCAGCGGTGGTCGGTGGCCACGCGGGCGGACGGGCCGGCGGGGCAGGGTGGGGTTGCGGGGGCGCCGCCCTGCGCTTCCAGCGTGTCCTGGAGGACTCTGCGGGCGCCCCCGCGCCCCCACCGTCACCCTCTCTCCGTGGGTATCCGGGCCACGTAGGAGCCGCGGAGGCCCAGGTTCTTGCCCAAGCCGGAGAGGATGCTGGCCTTCCTCTGACGGCCGCCACTGCACGCCTGTCCTGCAACCCAGCTCTCCGCGCGGTGCGACGCGACGCGCCCGGGTACCCGCCTCCCTCGGTGCCGGGCGCCGCCTGCTGCCCAGCCCAGCCGCCCCGACAGCGGGCGCGCTGGCCTCCTGCCCTGCGCCGGGCGGATGCTTCGCTCTGGTCCAGGGCCGATCTGCTAGGGTGAAACTCGAGGCGGTCTGAGATCCTCTCCCTGCCTTTCGGTGCCTCCTAGTCGGCTCACAAATATCACCCTATCTTACATTTTTAAATACCTGGCAAAGTCGAATGGCAAGAAGCCAGCGTTACTTTTCCTTGGGCCAAGCACGTGAAGGTTCAGGAGATTTGTGTTGGGTCCGCTGGCTTAGAACCCTATTGGATTTATTCAGTTAGAGTTTTGTCATTGAGCAGTGCCACCAGGCAAAGTGGGCCCCCAACCTTAGGCACTCTAGGATGGGATGTTGCTATCCCATAGTCTTGATAATTTAAGGATGAGAAGAAAAAAAGGATTCAGAATATCTTATTTTTTTTTGATCCTTCTCTTTAAAAGGTTACTCCACTTTTTCCCTTTGAAAAATTAGAATTAATAGAATTTCACTAGTCATTTAAGAGTCTTTTCATCTACTATGTGAATGAAACAGTGATATATATATATCATAGGCAGCAGTGTGTGTGTGTGTGTGTGTGTGTGTGTGTGTGTGTGTGTGTAATGATGTTCTTCACATGATGGTAAGGCAGTAACTTGATGTCCAAAAGTTGCAGATAGCCTTTATGAGCATCTGTAGACAAAATTCTCTTAATAACCACATCTTTCATAACTTTTAGCTAAAGATCTTTAAGGGCTGAATCTTCATGTCACTGCCAGAAATAAATTCAGGAGTTTTCAAAGTCTATTGAGTCCTCAGTGAAAATCATTTTTTAACTAACGCTCTTTACCCTTAATGCCAGTCCCTCCTCTCATGTTTTTACAGTGATTGTCCTGGACTCCTGCTGTCCTGTAACACCTCCCATGATCACCTGCCACTTTTGTAGGCTCTCCCATCTAAAGGCCCATCATTTATATATATATCTCCATTCACGTATATGCATACACATATACCTACATGCCTATGTATTGAAACTGAGTATTGAACCCAGCACATTGACTACTGAGCTACATACACTCCCAGACCCTGTGGCCTTCTTTGCCTAGTGAGTCTTGCTTAGCTTTCATGGCCCAACAATCTTCTGAGAATCTTTGTGCTTTTGATTGGACTTGGTATGGTGGGCCCTTCTATCACTGTTTTTACATTCTCCTTAAGCATCTAAGTTGTAGTTTTTAATTGCTCAACAAGGTCATAAGGCCTAGTAGGTCCCATGCATTTTGGTGGTAGCACTACAGGGATGAATAATAATTGTTCTTGGCATTAAGGACTTTATGAGTTAGGAGGTAAGGATAGGTGATCCCATAAGATGCTAAGTGAGTGCAGAGAGAGACAAGAAAGTAAGTATTCCTCAGAGGAGGTCATAGCGGATCTGAGTTTTGAAGTCTGAGTAAGAGTTTGTAAGGTGCATAATTATTTGCATTGCCGCCTTCTCTGATCAACTATGAGCTGCTTCACCTCAGAGTTTTCCTTAGGATCCAGGACAGAATTTACATATAATTAATTTATACTCTTGTTTTATTAATCATTAAGGTTAAAATGTAAGCCTTGCCCTTTGAAAACCGTATTTTGAGTTGGCCACTTTGGAGAATTAATGAGTAAAATATTTTTAGTTTCAGTGGGATTAACCGTACGACCTTTTTGCTTGTGGTAACAGCATTGTTAATTATGGTTGACCAAGTTAGTGAAGAAGAAAGAAAAAAATTTACCTGAGGAGTTTGAGAACAGAAAAATGTCTGCTTATTTTATGCTGGTTTTTGCACATTTATATTCTGCCAAATATATTTATATTGCAGAACTTTTCTACATCTTATATTTATTTCATATTTTCCCATATAAAAGAGATGGTTGTTTAGAAACCCTAGTATTGAAAAAAATAAAATTGCAGAATAGGTTTTTACAAGAATTTAATGTTTATAAAGAATTAAACCCATTTCCCATTTAACTTATCATGCTAGTTGAGTAAGAGTGAACTTGTGGTTAAGCACTTTTGCTTAAACATTATGTGCAAGAAGTTGTAGTTCAAACACTAAACCAGTTTGAACATGAATACCAGTTGACAGCCTTTGCCTCTCCCTACCATACATACAGTACGGCAGGTGTCCTGCAATGTGACTCCTGCAGTGTGAACCATGGCCAGCAGGAGGCTCAGACTGGCCTGAGCAGAAAACCAGGGAGGCACCCTGCTTCAACTTCCAGCTTGGTACACAGCACACAACACTAGTGCTTTTTCTCCATTTCCTTCTAGACACAGGTCAGGGCCTCAGGATTAGGAGAGAGTAAGTTTTCTAAAATCCAAACAGACTAGGTTCAGTTATTTGACTTCTTCTGGTTTAGAAAAATAAACACAGGATTTTCCAAGTCTAAAAATACAGCTTTGTCTTTGTTGCATTGTTCTCCTGTTGAAAGAGAGCAGTGGAAAAACTAATGCTCTTAGGGGTAATCTGGTCAGAAGTTTAGGCATGACCTAGAAATAATATCAGATCTGTTGAAGGAAGACTTACACAGGGGCTAGACATGTGGAATTATTGAATTCTTGGGTTAGAGCATGTCAGATCTTTCTGTCTCCTATAGAAGTAACTGCTCTTTGGAGAGTTTCTAATCTGTTATCTTTAGCTTCATTCATCTTTGCTTCCCACATTTCCTCTCAGCTCACCCTTGAATTCCTTCTTTAGAAGCATGAAGGGCACCTGAAGTCTTGCCAGCGGAAAAATGAGTTTATTTGTTGGTAGTATTAATAGTATCTCCTTGATTCTTTAAACAAAGAATAAAAGGTGAGTCATGTGAGCATTGACTTGGGCGTCCATAATAGGAGGTTCAGCCTTCATGAACCGCTTGTCGAAAGAGTCCTAGACTCGGAGGTATCAGTTTCTGTATCTGACTCAGGTAATTCCAGCCTGATTTTCTGCTGAGAAACAATAAATAGACTGCTTCAGAATATATGATTTTCTTCATTGTTTTTTCAGGATAAGCCTTTATTTCATTTTTGAACTTGATTTCTCTGTTGCTTTAATTTTGTCCTGGGTAGTCATTTAGAATGATATAAGAGGAATACTTACTTGTCATCTTAGTCTATAGGAAACCTGACTCTGGGAATCCTGGGCTGGTTTGACAGACGCTTCCTCAGCATGCTTTGTTCATCTCTCCTGAGGCTTTGTTTACCTGTCCAGGTTCATAGGCATTTTCCCAGATCCAGGTAACAGGGATTGTGGTCACTTGAAAGAACAGTAGCCTCTCCTAAAATAAGATCTGCTAACAGCCCACGTTTTTGGTACTCTCAGAGCTTCTGGGAAGTTCAAGGTTTATGGATTAGAGCTAGTTTGGTGATGGCTAGAGGCAGTTTGACAGTGCCTTTGGGAGCTGAAGTGCTTAGCTTATATTCCAATCTCTAGGCCTTTATAGCAACAGACGTCGCTGTTTTCCTTTGACTTTGATTAATTTGTCCCTCCCTCCCCCTTCCTTCCCTTGTTCCTTCTATCCTTCCCTCTCTCCTGTTCCCTTTCTTTCTATAATAAAGAGGACTGAACTACTTGGTTGAAGAGGGGAATTTGATTTTAATTACTTTGCTTTTCAAAATATAAAGAAAAAACAATATAGGAATGTCTGTTTTGTATTTATTGTGATAAGTTATACATAAAAGTCATACCACTTAACCTGTGGAGTTTGCATGTGGTGCTGGGGTTTCAGCCCAGGGCTCGTGTGTGCTAGATGGGCACTCTGTCACTCACTGAGTTTCACTTCCAGCCCTTGGCTATTCTTCAAGTGTGAAATTCAGTGGCATTGACTGTATTCACAGCAAAAGTGTTCTTTTAACTATGCTGTTGAAATTAAGTAGGAAAAAAATCTCAAGGTTAAAAGAAACTTATGGAAGAGAGACTGCAGTCTTTGCTTTGTTATTGTATTTCATTTGTGACCAATAATATGCATCTTCCCCTGACTCTTATGGTTTAAAGTACTCTACATTTTTGGATGGTGTTTGAAAACAATTTGCAGCTGTGCCAGTTCTGGAGTCAGAAAACCTCGTCTGTTTCATGTCCTACCATGACAGTTCTGGCATTTGTGACCTTGAACAAACTGCTTAGATATGTCCACACTCAGTTTCCACATTGGTTAGCCTGAAGATGATAAAGATAGGTTTATGAGAGTGTAGAACACTTAGAATAGTGCTTGGCACAGGATATAGTCAATTAGTCTTAGCCATAACTACTATAAACTTCACTTGCTAATCAGATTCAAGTTATCAGGACAGAACATAGCCCTGGCTTTTCAAGGCTTTGAAGTGGCTTCAGGAGTTTCTCTGCTTGGTTTCTGCCAGGGAGAGAGAAAGAGGGAAAGGTTGCCCTCAAGCCTCTCTTGTCAGAAGGTGGCATACAAAGGGAGTCAGAAGCCCAGGTAGGGCTGGTTAGGGCTGGTTTCCCTGGGCCTCCACTGCCCCACACCAGGAAGGCTGCATGGAGGAAGCTGTAGAGACCTGTGGAACTTCTGGCAGTCTGGACAGCTCAGGGGTTTAGGTGCCAAATGGCTCTCTGACAAAAGGTGAGAACATCCTGCAGGAAGGTTGCCTGGAGGAACAGCCCATTCTGGAAAGGCTCTGAGAGCAACCTGTGCGGACTGCACCTTTCTTCTACCTTTCAGTTGGCCTTGGAAGCTGCCATGCTGGCAGGAAATGCTGCTGACTAAAAGAAATATTCACCGTGTGTTCCAGTGAGTGAGAAAACCGGTCCTTTATTTTTTAGATACAGTCAATCTCTGCTACTCCCTTTCTTCTGTCAACTTAGAAATATTTTTGTCCCTTACCTTTTTTTCTTTCTTTGTAGTATTGAACCCAGAGCCTCATGCATGGTAGGTAAGTGCCCCACAACTGAGCTGTACCCCAACCCTCTCTCTCTTATCCGTGTGTGTGTGTGTGTGTGTGTGTGTGTGTGTGTGTGTTTGTGTTGTTTTTGAAACAGCTGAGCTCGACCATGAACTCCTGAGTCTGCTGTCCCCACCTCCCAAATGCTGAG